GCCAGTGCGAGGATGCTGGGCAGCGCCATCCTTGGAGACAAAGGTGGCTACATCTGAGTTTGAGGTGCTGAGATAATTGTGTTTCCCCTATGCTTCCTGGAGAAGACTGATGGGGTGGAGGTGGGGATAGGGTGAGCCCTACCCTGTAAGGAAGGCGTCAAGCTTTTGTGTCTTCTTCCTTCAGGGGTGGAGATTCAGGAACTCACTCCTATAATTCCTTTAGCTTGGGTCTCTGTTGCCTCCATCAAGGGGCCGTAAGGAGCTTTCTGTCTCCAAAATCCCCACCCCAGCCCTACCCCCACCTGCCCTGCCTCCAGTGGCTTGTCCTGGCCTCACTTCCCCTTTGAGATTCTACGATGTGATCTTGGGCTAGCCTTTTAAATTCCCTGCGCTTGTTTTCTACCCAATGGGGTGGCTGTGAAGATTAAATGTGGTTCCATAGATAAAGCACTTGGCATGCTGGCTGGATCACAGTGAAGCATGAAGGAAATGAGGGCTGCTCTCATTCTGTTCTGTCGCATCTGTGTGTGGGGTGAGGGAGTGGGGTGGCAGGAGAGCGACCAGTGACACAGGCCTCCCATGCATGCTGAGGCACTGAGCTGGACGGAGATGCACGAGATGATGTGGCATCCCTCTTGAAATCTTGGGGAATACAGAGACAGAGAACCAGGCAGGGTTGGGGAAGCTCCGGATCCTGACTCTGCCTCTGCCTCCCCAGGTTATCCCCTTCTCCACCCCCCGGGCAGAGTATGCCATCAAAGACTTATATGCAGGGGGGATGTTTACTGATGGAGAGGCCACTCTTCTAGAGAAGCTGTACGTTATCTGCTGGGACTCAAGGGTGGGGCATGGTGGAAACAAGGTAGGGAAGGGGGCTGGAGCCAACCTGAGTCCCAGGAGGGAAACTGGGGGCCTGGGCTGGGATGCCTCTGGCTAACAGTGTGACCTTATGCAGCAAGCCACCCACTGCGCCTGTCTTTAGGATGCACCTGTTCCGGGGGTGGGGCTGAGCGCAGAAGTGCATCTTTGGGTTTGGCCTTCTTCTTGTCTATAGAGTGGAAGTTGGTTGGCTGTGGGGGCAGGCCATTGGCTAAAGGCTGTGATTGACCCATCTGTGACTGGTTCCTCAGAGAGGCGGACATTGTGGATCCCAGCATAAGGGGCATGGTCAACCAGCTCTGCCTGCCAGACCCTGTCAAGTGTTTCTTGGCCTGGTTTCCAAGGTACATAGTAAATGCGGGCCCTGGTCAGGGAGGGCTTTGGAAGGGCAGGGGCACAGGGAGTAGGAAGGGCTCAGAAAGCAGAGGGAGCCCACAGAAGGAGAGGAAGTGGGGTCAGAGAGGAGGATGAAGCCCAGAGAATGATGGTAGCTCAGAGAGGGGTTCAAATGGGGAAGAAGAATGAAGGGCTGGGTAGACGGTGGCTCCTGTCTGTAATCCCAGTACTTTGGGAGGCCAAGGTAGGAAGATCACTTGAGCCCAGGAGTTTGAGACCAGTCTGGGCAACACAGCGATACTCCATTCTCTAGAAAGAATGGAAAAACAAACAAACAAAAACAACAACAAAAATACTAGCTGGGCATGGTGGTGCATGCCTGTGGTCCCAGCTACTCAGGAGGCTGAGGTGGGAGGATTGCTTGAGCTCAGAAGGTCAAGGCTGCAGTGAGCTGAGATTGTGCACTGCACTCCAGCTTGGGTGACAAGTAAGACTCTGTCTAAAAAAAAATTAATTAAAAAAAAATAGTGAAAGAAGGGGATGGGGCTAAAAGAGTAGGGTGCTCACAGAGAGGGGAGGGGGTTTCAGAGAGGAGGCTCAGAAAGGGGGAAGGGCATTTGGAGGGCTGCAGGGCTGGTGTGAGCTCGGAGAAGCTCAGGGCTTGGTGAAGTGGTGTAGGCTTGTTGAGGATCAGAGGGTTCCATGTCAGTGTGTTGATTCATGCCACCCTTCTTGGACCCCCTCCTGGGCAGGCTGGCTGTTTCCCTGTGGGTTCTGAAGTTGAACTCACCATCTCATCCCCCTCTAGGATCCCCGAACTAGCCAGCATCTTGAAGAGATTCGTGGAGTGGGATGAGTCTCCCTAGAGCCAGCTTCTACCCACAACGGTTGTCCATGGGATGGTGGGAATTGAGGAGGGGCATGTGGCTAGAGTTGGTGTCCACTTAGAGGGGGAACTATTTAGATTTTGGACTTTAATTAGGGTTTTAAGATCATGCCTGACATTAGCGTTATATTGAGACTTTTGATTGGTGTTGGGACTTGATTTGGAGTTAAGATCTGAATTAACACTGGGTGTGGTGGCTCATGCCTGTGATCCCAGCACTTTGGGAGGCTGAACGGGAAGGATCACTTGAGGCCAGGGGTTCAAGACCAGCCAGGACAACATGATGAAACCTGTCCCTACTAAAAATACAAAAATCAGCAGGTGAGATGGCATGTGCCTGTATCCCAGCTACTCGGGAGGCTGAGGCATGAGAATCATTTGAACCCAGGAGGTGGAGGTTGCAGTGAGCCAAGATGGTGCCACTGCACTCTAGCCTGGGTGATAGAGAGAGACTCTGTCTCAAGGAAAAAAAAAAAAAATTCTGAATTAAGGCTAAGCTAGGTTGAGGTAAAGTGTGGGGCTGAAGTTGAGATTAGGTTTTATTTGGGGTTGGGCTTAAGACTGAGGCTGGGGTTGCAGTTGGTTTGGGTTGGGGTTGGTGCAAAGATAGATTTGGAAGTGGGTTGGGACTGAGGCTGGAGTTGGGGTGGGGCTAGAGTTAGGGTTAGAGATTAGTTTGGGAGAGGATTCTGGTGTGGGCTTGGGTTTGCTGTTGGGCTTAGCCTGGTGGGGTTGGTGTTGAGATGCTGGGCAGAATTGGGCTGGAGTGGCCTGAGGGCTAACTGGGTGCCTCACAGATTAGGGTAAGGAGCCTATGGCCTTTGAGGGAGCCCCTGAGTTCCTGCGACTGGTGGAATGAGGGGTAGATTGACCAGAGGATGTGTGCTCTTGGGGACCTTGGGCAGGCAAGATGTCTTGGCCAGGGGACAAGACACAGGGTCACTCCCATCCCATCAGTTGATTTGCAGCATGCACTGAGGCCTTGGGTGCCATGTCCCCATTTGTATAAAAGGGGTCCCTCCCATGCTGACCTTTGAATTTCTCAGAGTCTTCCTCGTTCTTTCAGGACACCCAAGAAACTGTGGGAGCAGCACACAGCAGTGGAGGCAATGCATGCCTGGGAAGACCTTGAGGGGCTGCTGGATCCGGGGCCGCAGACACCTGGGTAGTGCCCTGAGTGGTCAGAGTTATGGCCTGGCCTGCAGAGGAAGCCCAACTGGACCTGGGTGGGGGCGCTTGGTGACCTCAGAAGTTATTCTAGTCCATCTCCCTAGAGCATTGTCCGCAAATCCTTGTGACCTGAGATTCAGCTTCCCATTCCTTCACCTCTGTCCCTGGGAAGACCCTGAACCTCCACAGGTATCTCAGGCCGAAGCTCATAGCCTGAGACTTCCTCCTGGTGTGCAACTCAGTGCTGCCTGGCAGCATCTGACCTTGTCTGGCAAACAGTAACCGCTGCTCGTCCTACCCTTCCCACCCCTCACTGTCCCTGCAGGAATATCAGCAAGAGTTCATAGCCAAGTGGAGGTCCCTGGACCTGGATGTGCTGCTGGTGCCAGTTCTGGGCTCTGCCTTCTATATAGGCTCTTCCTCCCTAGCACAGTGGGTCCTAGTGGGGTCCTGGGAGTCCAGGACTCCCGAGTCCTGCCCCAGCCTCTGTGATCTTGCTCTCTGTCTCCATTCACTTTTTAAAAATATTTCTTAAATTGAGATAAAAGTCAGATAAATTCACCATTTTAAAGTGTACAATTAAGTGGTTTTTAGTATTTCAAAATGTTGTGCAACCACCACCATTATAAAATGTCTGAACATTTCTGTCACCCTGAAAGGAAAACTTGTACCTGTTAGCAATTTCCATTCACTTTGAACTGTATGGAAGTATAATTCACACGCAATAAAATTCACCGATTTTAAGTGTAATTTGATGAATTTTGACAAATGTATACAGTTGTATAACCACCACTATAATCAGAAATACAGAATATATTTTTAGAATTTATATGGTATATATTCCATCACTCCTGAATTTCCCTCATGTCTCTGCAGTTCACGCTATCCCTAACCCCAGCACCCACCGATCTGCTTTCTGTCACCATAGTTTTGCCTTTTCTAGAATTTCATACAAATGGAATCAAAGGGTATGAAGCTTTTGTGTTTGGCTTCTTCCACTTAGCACATCCATTTACTCCTTTTTTTTTTTTTTTTTTGAGACAGAGTCTTGGTCTGTCACCCAGGCTGGAGTGCAGTGGCACAATCTCGACTCACTGCAACCTCCTTTGCCTCCTGGTTTCAAGCAATTCTCCTGCCTCAGCCTCCCAAGTAGCTGGAATTACAGGTGTGTGCACCACCATGCCTGGCTAATTTTTGTGTTTTTAGTAGAGACACGGTTGTGCCATGTTGGACGGGCTGGTCTTGAACTCCCAACCTCAGGTGATCTACCCACCTCAGCCTCCCAAAGTGCTGGCATTACAGGTGTGAGCCACCGCGCCCGGCCCATCCATTTACTCTTGACATGTTCTCTGCTGCCCCACTTCAAAAGGTGTCTTCAGCCCAGCCTGCCCAAAACATGGGCTCAGGACAGGGTAGTATCTGAGCCATCCCTGGGTCCCATGCACAGGTGCTGGTCTCCGAGGTGCTGCCCAAGGCAGGATGAAACTCAGTTCCAAATCCGAACCTGACTCCTCTCCCCTGACCTTAAGAACGTGTCCTCCTGGGTCCCCCCACCGTGGCCAGCCAAAGGCGCATCCCACGCCTGACTCTCCCTACACACTGCTGGCTGCTGTAGAAGAGCTGTCCTTTCAACTCCAGGTGGCGCTGTACACCCCTACTATCTTGAAGTCCGGTGCACAGGAAGGCATGGGCTGAATCCTCTGCCATCCAATAGCTGTGTAGCCTTGGAAAAGGCCCTAATCCTGCCACCTCGGTTTCCTCACTTGTACACAGTCAATAGTAATCCCCACCTCACAGAGTGAAGAGGATTCAAGGAATCAGCAATGTGATGAGGCCAGCACAGTGCCTGGCACTAAGGCTTCTGCAATGCAGATTCCCTCCTTCCCTTCACCCTGGGGAGAGCCTGAGGCCATTGTCAAGATGACTCCTGACGCAAACTGGCTACTCCGAGCCCAGAGCGCTGAAGTTCCCAGAAGGACCGGGAGGGGGCGCCCACCCACATTCTTCCGCACTTGAGTCTGCGCTGACGATTTCCTGGGCTTATCTGGATCTTCCTGCAGAAAGCCAGTCTTACATGACCCTGTACAACCTCCTGGACTTTCCCGCGGGCGTGATGCCTGTCAGGACGAGGGGAAACTGGCCTTCTACAAGGGGTACTACGGAGATAGTTCTGACAAAAATTTCTCGGAGGTCAGTTTCCTTCTCCGAGCCTCTCCCGCAGCGGGGACTAACCAGGGCTGGTTCTATCCGGGTTGGGGCCCGTGGCGGGTGGCGGTGGAGAGAGTAGGGCGGGGCTGGTGTTTACCCTTCGGCACTTATGCTAGTTTCACCCCAACCCTGAGGACACATCATTTGACCTTCATGACAGCCCCACCGATGTCAAGGGAGAAAACTTTGCAAAACCAGTGGTTCTTCTTCTTCTTCTTCTCCTTCTCCTTCTCCTTCTCCTTCTCCTTCTCCTTCTCCTTCTCCTTCTCCTCCTTCTCCTTCTCCTTCTCCTTCTCCTTCTCCTCCTTCTCCTTCTCCTTCTCCTTCTTCCTCCTTCTTCTCCTTCTCCTTCTCCTCCTCCTCCTCCTCCTCCTTCTCCTTCCTCCTCCTCCTCTTCTTCTTCTTCTTCCTCTTCCTCTTCTTCTTCTTCCTCTTCTTCTTCTCCTTATTCTTCCTCCTCCTCCCCCTTCTCCTTCCTCCTCCTCCTTCTCCTCCTCCTCCTCCTCCTCCTCCTCCCTCCTCTTCTTCCTCTTCTTCTTCTTCTTCTTCTCCTTCTCCTTCCTCCTCCCTCCTCTCTTCTTCTTACTCTTCCTCTTCTTCTTCTTCTTCCCTCTTCTTCTTCTCCTTATTCTTCTCCTCCTCCCCCTTCTCCTTCCTCCTCCTCCTTCCTTCTCCTCCTTCCTTCTCCCTCCTCCTCCTTCCTCCTCCCCCTCCCTCTCCTTCTCCTCCTTCCCTCCCTCCCTCCCTCTCCTCCTCCTCAGCCTCCTTCCTCCTCCTTCCTCCCTCCTCCTCCTTCTCCTTCTCCTCCTTCCTCCTCCTCCCTCCTTCGTCCCTCCCTCCTCCTTCCTCCTCCTCCTCCTTCCTCCTCCCTCCTTCCTCCTCCTCCCTCCTTCCTCCTCCTCCCTTCCTCCTCCTCCTTCCCTCCTCCTCCTCCTTCCTCCTCCTCCCTCCTTCCTCTTCCCTCCTCCTTCTCCTTCTCCTCCCTTCCTCCTCCCTCCTCCTTCCTCACTCCTTCCTCCTCCTCCCCTCCTTCCTCCTCCTCCTCCTTCCTCTTCCCTCCTCCTTCTCCTTCTCCTCCTTCCTCCTCCTCCTCCCCTTCCTCCTCCTCCCTCCTTCTCCTTCCTCCTCCTTCTCCTTCTCTCCTCCTTCCTCCTCCCTCCTCCTTCTCCTTCTCCTCCTTCCCTCTTCCTCCCTCTTTCTCCTTCTCACTCCTTCCTCCTTCTCACTCCTCCTTCCTCCTCCTCCTCCTTCTCCTTCTCTCCTTCCTCCCTCATCCTCCTCCTCCTCCTCCTCCTTCTCCTTCTTCCTCCTTCTCCTTCTCCTCCTTCCTCCTCCTCCTTCTCCTTCCTCCTCCTTCTCCTCCTTCCTCCTCCTCCTCCTCCTTCTCCTTCTCCTTCTTTTTTGAGATAGAGTCTTGCTCTTTCACCCAGGCTGGAGTGCAGTGGCATGATCTCGGCTCACTGCAACCTCTGCCTCTTGGGTTCAAGTGATTCTCCTGCCTCAGCCTCCCAAGTAGCTGGGACTACAGGCATGCACCACCATGCTCGGCTAATTTTTGTAATTTTAGTAGAGACAGGGTTTCACCGTGTTGGCCAGGCTGGTCTCAAACTTCTGGCCTCAAGTGATCTGCCTGCCTCGGCCTCCCAACATGCTGGGATTACAGGTGTGAGCCATTGTGCCTGGCCTTCTTTGCATTGCCATAGGTAAAAATGATCTTAGAGGCAGGGAGGGCAGAGCAGGGCAAAAGCCACTAGTTATGAGCTTACTGTGTATCTGCTCTGGATATGACCTCTCTTGGGACCTCTGCTTCCTCACCAGGAAAATGGGAATAAAAACATCTACTTTGTAGGGTTGTGCTAAAGGTTAATTAATTTGAGAAAGAGAATGAAGCAATTTGCATAAGGTCGTACATGTAGGAAGTGTTCAATGAATACTATGATTAGTAAGTCAAAGGTGGTTTCATGAAATAAAATATTACCAAATATTTAACTGCAGGGTCTAAAATAACACACCTGACTTTGGTGAGAGAGAGAAGGAGATAGAGGAAGAGAAAGAGGCTGACTCTGAAACATATGCACGTATCTGAGTCAGACATTAAGTAACTTACTTTTTCTGGAAATTGATTTTAGTGCTAGAGTTACCCAGTGGAACTGCTGACCTGAATTCTGAGAAAATAACAATAGTGACACTATCTCATGTGTCTTGAGCACTTACTCTGTTCCAGGAGCTGTTTAAAAGTGCCATGTATAAATATTAAATCATTAAATTCCATAACTCTCCTGTGAGGTTTTTTAAATGAGGAAAATGGAGGCACAGGCAGATTAAGGGACAGGGCCAAAGCCACACAGCCAATTGAAGTGGAGGAGCTAGGACTTGAAGCAGGTGATCTGACTCCAGAGACAAAGGCAAATAAGGCCTCAAATGGTATCATCAGAAAGCAAAGAAAACAGGTTTGAATTCCTAAAAGGATGTTTGGATTTCATGGCAGGGACTCAGGCTTAGCCCCCATGTTCTTGGGCCTGTTTTGGGCCAAGGCAATGCTTTCACTGTGGAAGGGTAACCAGGCTATGGATCAGGGATTAGCACACTCTTCTTTCTCTTGCTTGAACATTGGGTGGATGCTCAGCTTTTTCTTTCATCATTATAATCAGCATTCTGCACAGGGAGCAAGTTTTACATGTTAACCCTGGAGAACTATGGACAATAAAATCAGAACAGTCTTTTCAGGTTTCACCAAGAGCTGAGGAAGCCTGGAATTCTGGGAGCTAGGTCATCTTTACCTTAATATCGATTGGGAAAGGGATGTTTGGACTAAAGCATCACCTAGACCCACCCTTGGTACAGAGGCCCAGAATAGCATGGGTGATGAAAAGAGCCAGGCAAGGGGCCTGTGAGCAGGAAGCAGGCTCTGAGTTCCCGACCTTCTCTCCTGGCAGGCAGTAAGAGGATCCGTCAGACTTCCGGTGGCTGTGCAGTGCATTGCTTTGCCATGGGAAGAGGAGCTGTGTCTCTGGTTCATGAAGGAGGTGGACACCTTGGTCAAGAATCAGAGGGGGCCCAAATGACAGGCTCCTTTAACGGAGTAACAGCTCAAGAAACATGGGGCTGGTTGTGGTGGCTCATACCTGTAATCCCAGCAGTTCGGGAGGCAGAGGCTGGCAGATCACTTGAGGCCACGAGTTTGAGACCAACCTGGGCAACATAGCGAGACCTTCTAAACATTTTCTTGGTGTTACTCCTGTAGCTCCTCACCCAAGTGTCCTCCTGATGCCCCTTCCTTCTCATGAATACCATGTCCTCCTTATGTCTCCTCCTTCTGGAACCCCACCAGGTTCCTTTTATTTGTTGGTCCCTCTGCATGGATGCTCAGTATTCCTCAGATGGGCCCAGGATGAGGAGCAGCGTGAGGAGCTCAATAAACATTTTCTGACTGGCCCCAGCCTCATAATCTCTGGTCTGGGTGAGGCTGTAACCTCCCGGAGGTCTTTTGCCTCCAGCTGCTTTCCTCCAACTCAGTCCCCCTGATGCTACCCCAACCTGCAGTGGGGAAAGAGCCTCAAACAAAGAGGCTGGAGATCTGGGTCCAAGTCCTGGCTCTGTCCCTGACTTGCTGTGTGATGCTGGGAAGTTCCTTCATCTCTCTGGACCTGAGTTTCCTCATCTGAGTTTCAGATTGAGGGGGTTAGATTTGATAAGGTCTGTGGTACCTACCAGCTTGACCATTCTGTGAGCTGTGATTTCTAGGCACTGCCCTGATTAAGAACTTGCCATGATTCCCACTGACGTCTGGAGAGGGCTCCAGAGAGCAAGGCTGAGACAGTGGAACACAGTCATAGTGGAGCTTGGGTTAGGACCTAGACCCCTGGCTCACAGTTCAGTGCTTTTGCCGCAAAACACCAATTCCTTGGTCTGACATCAGTATGTCTCCAGGATCCTCCATAGCCTCGTCTCCCATGGCTCCACCACAGCACTGCCTCCTTCCGTTGCCTCAAACTGGAGCCTTCTCACCAGCACAAGCCCACCTTATGCTTCTTCTGGCTCCGTGTCGCTGTTCAGACTGTTCCCTCCACCTGAACCCCATTGCTGTCTTCTCTGTCCTTCAAACCCTGTATCAAATACCACTTCCTCCAGAAAGCCTTTCCTGATCCCTCCAACATAACCCGCCCCCCCATTATTTTCCCCTCATCTGAACTCTCTTGAGATCCTCCTCCCATCAAATCTCTCCCTTCCCCCATCCCATTCCTCTTTGTAGCCCTACTTCCGCCAACTATGCAAATTAATGAACTCACTTTTCCCTGTGCTTGATAGCACAGACCTTCTGAAGACAATGCAAAGGAATGGAATTCATCCATCCATGCTACATTTTTTGAGTACCCCCTCTGAACACAAATGTGAAATTTCAAGCAGAAAAAAGCCTGACTTAAAAGAACTTAACTCAGATGAAGACTCCAGGAACTGCACAGCAGAGGGGGCAACCCTGCCTCTGTCTCCCATAGAAGGAACCACTTGGGGTGTCCAGGTGCAGGATGGACAGGGCTACTGCTGACGTCACCTGTCCCCCTACATCAACTCTACCACAGAGTCTGAGATCTCTGCAGGAGAGGGAGCTTCAGAGTTTCCCCTCAGATGGGGTTAGTAGGGCTGGTGCCCTGTCTTCCCTGCCCTGTACCAGGTCTGAGTAGCTTGGAAAAGGTGGGAGATCTCCTGCCTCTCCTTCCTGCATCCCATTGCTGGCTGCGGTATTCTGGGCACCAGGGGGCAGCATTGAGCTTCACAAGGCCCAGACAGCCCTTGCCCTCTGCTCTCAGACCCACTGTCGCTGCGAAGTCTCCAGTGAGATCCTTTGCTCAAGCTCCATTGCGCTGATGGGGGAAACTAACGAGTGGAGGGACAGAGATAGAGGGATGCAGGAATTAGCCAGGCACTTTGGCTTCAGGTTAAATATTTGCAGATTTTAAGATGTAGGAGGTAGAATTCTCTTTTGGCTGAAATTAGCCTGTGGAAAAGGGGTGGCAGATACCGGCTCGAAGGACTGAATAAATGGGAAGCCCTATCCTAGGCACAGACTTCTTTTCGGCCTGGGCTTTCTCTAATATCTTCTGAGCTGATGTTTGGAGTCAACAACCTCCTTCCTCCCCACCTCCAGCGCCAGCTTCAGTGCGACCCCTAACCTCTGACTCCTGAAAACTACCTGCCAGCACCGTCTTCATCTGAAATCACTCCGTGATCTGTGACTGTGGATGTCATTTGCTGTCTTGATATGGGGGCCTCTTTGAGGTCCATGTGTGGGTACATATGGAACCTCCTGGACCATATGTCTCCTCCTCCCCTTCCCACTCCTATCCCTTCCACCATGGAGGGCTTGGTCCGGGTACACACGGTCCAGGTTCTTACTCTCTTTCCTCTGAGACATTGTGCAAGTCTCCGGCTTCTCTAAGCATCTGTAACACGGGGCTGAAGATAACGTCTGCCCAGCAGAAGGATGACACAGACCCTCAGAAGCCCAGGGAGCAGGTGGGAGGGACTCAGGCTCCCGCTCCCCAGTCGCTGTGGCGTGAGGGGCCTGTTCAGGTCTGGGTGTCTGTGCCCAGAATTCACGGGGAAGAGCCAGCCCCTCATGCGGTGCCTCATGCGCTGCCTGTGAGAGAGCAACAGGGTGGGTCACTCCAGTGGAGGAATTTAGCTGAGAAACAGGAGCATTCTCAGGGTGAGGGGCTCTAGAAAAGCTAAGGGCCCTTACTAGGACGTTCCGGGAAGGGGGTCTTGAATTCTGATCTCGTTTCTGCCTAAGACCTATCCCCTTTCTGAACCTCAGTTTCCCTTTTGGCTGCATGTGGAAGGGGTGCCCGCATGCCCCCGCCCGCATTCAGTTGAAGGACCAGTCAGTAGGCCCCGCGCCGCCCAGGGACCGCTCGGCCTTTGCGTCCCACCCAGCACACGCCCCTTCCGTCGCCCGCGGCCTCGGGAGCGCTGGGCAGGCAGCCCGGGTGGGAGCGACCACGTCTCCCGCGTATACGGACGGACGGGCAGCCGCGCAGGCCCGCGCCCCGCTCCCGCCCTGCCTGCCGCGCCTCCCGGGGCGCCCGCATTAAAGCGCATATGCAAGCCATGAATTATCAACTGAAAGGAGTCAATTACCGGCTCTAAAAACGAGTGTCTGCGCCCGCAGCGCCCCGGGCCATCCGCCTATTTACGGAGCGATCTACCCCGCCCAGCTGGGGAGGAGGCCTCGGGAGGGAGAGAGACGGAGAAACGGAGCCCGAGACCGGGAGAGAGCCGGAGAGGCCGGGACTGGAGAGTCTGGGACACGAAGGAGAGGCGGGGAGAGACCGAGATTCAGCGAGATGCGCGGAGGGCCGGACCGGGGCCAAGGCGGCTCAGTCCCTCCCTTCCCCCGAGCAGGCAGGGAGAGGTGGGGTCTCAAGACCTCCAAGGCCCTGTTCCCCTTCCCTTGGCATTTGTGTAAGTGGGGCTCAGGCAGCGCTGGGCTGGGCGTAGTTTGCAGAGGGACTCGCCGTCCTGGCAGGAAACTGGGGAGGAGGCCGAGGCTTTGTCCAGAGTGGAGGTAAGAATGATGGTTGAACAGCGTGACCACGAATAAAGGGAGGAGGGCTTGAGGATAGGGACAAAGTGATGTGGGGCTTATGTAGGAAATGATGCGCAGCCTTTCAGCATTGAGAGAGAAACCGGGAGACCAGCCGGCGCCAGTGGGACCAGAAAGTCCTGCTTCCTCCCCACCCGCTCAAGCTGTTCCCTCCTCTGGAAATGCTTTTCCTGCCTTCTCCCTACCCATTCTGTGATTCCAGTCCTCCCCAGCCTCTGTGCTGCCTTAGCCTCAACACAATACACTTATTATTATTATTATTATTATTATTATTAGTGACAGGGTGTCACTCTGTCACCCAGGCTGGAGTGCAGTAGTGCAATCATAGCTCACTGCTGCCTCAACCTCCTGGGCTAAAGTGATCCTCCCACCTCTGTCTCTCAAGTAGCTGGGACTATAGGCACATGCCACCATGCCCTGCTAATTTTTTAAATTTTTTGTAGACATGGGTCTTGCTGTGTTGTCCAGCCTGATCTGGAACTCCTGGCCTCAAGTGATTCTCCCACCTCAACCTCCCAGTGTTGGGATTACAGGCATTAGTCCCATGACACCTGGCAACACACCCCATTCAATTCCATGATCCAGACCTGACTTCACCATAGGGCCAGGCCTTGTCCATGTTGCTGGGTATTGTGCCCTTGGAAGAAGGTCCTTGAATGTTTCTGAAAGAATGAATGAAGGAGTAAGCTGAGCTAGAAGACATGAGGCTGTGACAAAGATGGCAGGGCCGGCAGGGCCAGTGAGCCCAGATATGGACCTCCCATACAGATCAGATGGAAGTCTTTAGGCAACCACCGTACTGGGGTGAGGTCACAGGAGCTGAGTTGAGCCCTTGCTGGGGGAGAGGGGTCAAGAAGTAGCAGGGGCAGGGAGAGAAGGGATAGATGGAGAGCTGTCATCAGCACCAGCAAGTCACTGCCAGAGCCCCGGGGTTTTGACTTGAATGCTTCATGGCCCCTGAAATCCTAGGTCTCTTCTGGGGGAAGAGGTTCAGGGAACCCCCCCACCCCGTGACTTTGAGGAAGGAATGGGGTCCTACACTGGGGCAACGAGAAGATTCTAGGCTTGGGAATCAAACAGAGCCTTTCTCTTCTAACTGTGGGATCCCAGGCAAGCTTCTTAACTTCTGAGCCTCAGGTTCCTCATCTATGAAATGGGGATGGCCAGGGGAGGTGCCTCATGCCTGTAATCCTGGCACTTTGGAAGGCCAAGGCAGAAGGATCACTTGAGCTCAAGAGCAACAGACTTTGTCTCTATAAAAAAGTTAAAAACTAGCTGGGCGTGGTGGTTCATGCCTGTGGTCCCAGCTACTCAGGAGGCTGAGGTGCCATTTTTGAGGCTACAAAATACCAAGCGCTATGATAATGGATTATCTCTCTACTCTACACAACAGCTTTCTAAGGTTGCGAAGTCATTTTGCAAACAAGGAAATTCTAAGACAGGCAGGGATTGGAAAACGGCAGATAAAGTTTTGAAGTCATTTCTGACTCCAGAGACTCTTTAACCTAGGCACCATGAAGCCTCCTAGACCTGGTTCATATACCCACTGCCCTGTTCCCGCAGCCCTTCCAGCCTGGCCAAATCCAGACTGGGGGAAGTGGGGGGTGCACAGCAGGCAGGGCAGCTCAGGTCCAGCAGAGGTGGCCCCTGGGGTCTTGTTCCCGCCATGGCGTGGGTTGGGCATCTGTCCAGCTTGATGAGTCTCCAGCCCCACCATGCCATTAGCGGGCAGCCAGAGGGGGTGTCTGCAATCGCCAACACTGGGGTTCCCACTGCTGCTTGCCTATTAGTGGCTGGTGGCTTCATGGTGATTTATTGGGGCTTCTTCATT